TGTTCAGCCACCCCTCCCAGTGTAGTGTCATCAGCAAACTTGCTGAGGGCACACTCTGTTCCCTCATCCGGGTCATTAATGAAAATACTGAATAGTACTGGTCCCAGTACCGGCCCCTGAAGGACTTCACTAGTCACAGACCTCCAACTAGATTCTGCTCCATTGGCCACAACTCTCTGACTTCTTCCTTTCAACCAGTTCATGATCTACCTCACTACCTGATCATCAAGACCACACTTCCTCAGTTTATCTATAAGGATGCTGTGGGAGACAGTGTCAAATGCTTTACTGTAATCAAGATAAACCACATCTACCACCCTACCATCATCTACCCACATAGTTACTTCCTCATAGAAGGCTCTAAGGTTGGTCAAACATGACTTGCCCTTGGTAAAACCCTGTTGGTTGCTCTTAATGAGCCCCTCATCCTTGATATGCCTAGAGATAGTGCCTAGAACAAGTTGTTCCATCACCTTTCCAGGGATGGAGGTGAGTCTGACCAGTCAATAGTTACCCGGGTCCTCCTTCTTGTAGACTGGAGTGACATTTGGTATCCTTCTCAGGCATCTCTCCTGTTGCCCACGACTTACCAAAGATGATTGAGAGTGGCCTAGCAATGACCTCTGCCAGTTCCCTCAGCACCCACAGGTTCACTCCATCTGGACCCATTGATTTATGGATGTCCAGATTGCTTAACTGATCCCTAACCCAATCCTCATCTACCAAAGCAAACTCCTCCTTCATCCTGACTTCTTCTGGGGCTTTAGGGATCTGGGGCTCCTGGGGAGAGTTTGCAGTAAAGACAGAGGCAAAGAAGTCATTCAGTACCTCTGCCTTCTTTATATCCTCTGGCACCAGGGCACCCACCTCATTTAGCAGTGGGCCTATATTGGCCCTAGTGTTAGTTCTATCTGCAGTGTATTTGAAGAAGCCCTTTCTATTGTCTTCGACCTCACTAGCAAGGCTTAGTTCCAAGGAGGCCTTAGTTTTCCTAGTTGCCTCCCTACATCTTCTGACAACAGTCCTATATTCCTCCCAAGTGACCAGCCCCTCCTTACATGATGTATAGATTTCCTTTTTCCCCTTGAGTTTGCCCAGCAGTTCCTTGTTTAACCATGCAGGTCTCCTGGCTCCCTTACTGGATTTCCTACCCATTGGGATGTTCAGAACCTGAGCTTGGAAGAAGTGGTCCTTGAATGTTGACCAACTATCTTGAGCCCCTTTACCATTCATATATCACGCATATACAGCTTGCTGAAATATAAGCATTGTCCTGACTTCTCTATCCAAAGAGAAGATGCTTCCTTGGGCAGATAAGGAAGTAGCATAGTGGTAGGTCCCAGTTGTTTTGAACGGTTCACCTTTTTGTGTTCTCAGATGTTGTTGAGAGCTAGGTGCCAAATACTGTGTTGTTCCTGTGGCAGGTGTATTATCTGTGCCATGTGTGAAGCCAGAATTTGGAGGCTGGTTTCAGTTACACTGTGCTTGTGACTTCACCTGCTTCCAGTTCCTGGATCCAGCTCCATCTACAACTGCAGCACTGCACAACTCTGGAAAGCTTTGAAATACTGCTGCTACCTAGCACTCTTTGCCAGTCTATCCAAGACCACTCCTGCAGAAATCCATATGACTACTTCCCTTTTGCAGCAGGGGAAGTGAAGGGACAGGGCTCACCCCTGGACACCTTGCAGTGCAGTGGCACAACATGGAACACAAGTGCTTGCCCAATAATATTTCTTGAGATTTAGCTCCTTGATATATTGCCTTTTTTTTTTTTCTCTAAATGAGGTATGGTACCTTTGCTCCCACATATCGTATTCTTTTTCCAACCATAGTGCTCAGAAGGCACAAAATAGAGCAGAAATTGCCAGCATCTCTGGGTCTAATGTGTTGACACCATGTGATCTCTGAACATTACTGATCAGAAACAACAAGGAGAGCAGCAGAGTTTTAGAGAGCTCTATGTAGAAGAATTGACTTCAGGTCTGTGTTTGAGATCTCACAAGGCACATATATATACACACACATGCACACACATGAGAAGTATATCAAATTATTTTTAGGATTTGTAATTAATGCTTTTATTTCCCTTCTGAGCTGTGTGGATCTCACAGGATCAAACCAGCTTCACTGTTGCTCAGTAGCATTCTTGGACATTTCTGAAGCATGTTTTGGAAAGGCAGCATTTATGGAGTGAAAGATAGCGTTAAAAGCATAATGAATAGTGGAATCAGAGCATGAATCTTGGACAAAAAGGGAGTAGATAAATACTTTCTGAAACCTTTGATTCCTATGAATCATCTCCAATACACCCCCAGAAAGGAGATTGCAATTCAGCTCTACGCTAAAGTGGGCTATATAGATTAATTGCTAGTTGCCTGGATTTAGCCCCATTTATGTAATTATTCATACATTATCTAATAAAACCTAATGTGACCTTCATTTTCTATCCACCTCTGCAATTTTCCTGCAGACTTCAACCTGCACTGCCCTTGACAGCAGAAGAAGCCTTCTTTGTTTTGCTTGAGAGGGCTTTCTGCAGTCCATTATTTTGCTTGGCTTTCCGTGAGTTATAAACTCTTGGCTTTGCAATCAGGTTCTGGACTGCATTGCCCACTGCTGGAGTCTAGATTTGCTGTGGAAGCCTAGTTTAAAACATTTCTGCATTTCTTTTTTCCCACAGTCAAGCATGTGGCATGAATATCAGCGATAAGCCCTGCCTAGGGAACCCAAAGATTTAGTTTCTGAGCAGCAGCAGATTTTCATCAAACAATTTTCATGCTGTTGGTTTCAAGTTAATCTGTACAATTAATGCTTTGGGAAACTCTCCTCTTAATGCTCAGCCGGAGTTAGCCCACATCTTAAAGCCTAAGTTAGCCACCTGAATATCAAATTGCAGGACAGCTTACACAGAATCACAGAATCCTAGGGGTTGGAAGAGACCTCGAAACAGCCAAGACTTGATAGAAATGTTCTCAAAGGATTTGCAGTGTCTACTGATTGCTCCTCTGTAGCATCCCACATGCCATAGCTAAGGCCACCTTAAGTATTTGAAAAGCTGGCAACTGGTGTTCAGCACTCCAGGTTCCTTACTCTCGAATCCTGTAGGAAAGTGGGGAACATTCCGTGCAAGCAAGTCCCTTAAGGGAGGCTGGATTTTTTGAAGTACCTACCTTGTGAAGTGACTTACAGTCACTTCTGCAGAGTGGGACTCTCAGAGGCTACTGGAAGGAGGCAGAACAAAAATCAGCAACTTCAAGCTGGAGCCAGATGAACTGTGTAACTTGAATAAAGCTAAAATAGCAGGGAAAAATTCTGTAGCTTATCGTATGTCAGATTGCACCTCATGATTTCACAGGTTCTATGGTTTTAAGATGTGAATTGATTAACATCTTCAGCCTTCTAGAAGGCAAGAGCTATGTTTCTCCAGCTACAGAGGACCCTTCCAGTTCTGTTCACTGGCACTTCACCAGTGCATGTAGAAAACAAAGAACAACTAATTAAATCTGTTGGAAAACTCAACAGTCTGTCACAACAAATTCTTAAGACTTGTGAGTTCCATTTTGTCCTTGAGAGACACAGGAGAAGATCAGCCTAATTTGAAGTTTGTAGCTCTATGCTGTAAATGCCACCATTTGGATTAGCAAAGAACTTGAGGTTCCAGCCCTAACTGTGCTTGGATGAGACAGAGATTCTTTGAAGCATCAAGCCCTACATCTTTGCAGGAAATTAACAAGGCCCTTCTTTCATCCCTGAAATGTATATGCAGGGTTACCTTTTCCCTCTCTGCGTGCACTTTGGTTTTCTTTATCACACATTTAGTCTAAACCATGGAACTATGGCCATGCCAGTCACTACTTTGACTGGAATAGGAGTGATCTCTTGCTTAGAGATCAGAAGCCACCTTGCTGTGGATACTGGCCTCTTCTCTGCACATACAACTTTTTGTTAGCTTCCTCCCTCTGCATAATTTCCAGCACACCCACAGAATGGAGATTATAAGCCTGCTGAGCTCCGGCTTCCAATATAAATGGTCTGGACATAACATGTGAATGTGACCCAACTGCCTAACACTGCTTTCTGCTTTACTGTAGCAGCCAGATCTGTCGTGCAGTCCAAACAGCATTTCCTGCTATCAGTGATAGCTGGTGTGCTTAGAATTCATTGGCTGAGCAGAAACAGACAAACATGCACTGTTTCATTTGAGCAGTGGTATCATATTGGCAAATAATAGTTTGCACTATACCACATGCTACAGGGACTCTGTAACTGATGTGTAATTTATATATGTTAAACCATAGTATACAAGTACTGGCACGTTCCTAGTTGATTCAAATCACACTTGGGCATTTCCCTGAAATTTGCTTTCAAGCCCAAGCATGCCAGTACCTAAGCATTAGTGATCAGTAATACATTATGTGAACTTCTCCTTTTGTAGTAGCAGCTGCTCAGAAGACACCAGCCATTCTAGGATGACAGAGAACTTGGTGGATACTGAACCAGAATGCTTACTGCCAGGGTTTAGCTTTCCAAGTGTGAGGCTAGGCACCTCAAAGGTAAATCTGGGTAGCTGTCTTACCTGTTGAACCCAGAAATTTGTGAGCTGATGTTCTGGACGAGGGAGTTCTTCACCACAGATAATGGAACTTATCCCCTTGGCAAAGCATTGCTCCAGCTGTCCCTTCTTGGAGCCCAGGGCTGGCAGTCAGCCTGTCTTCTGCTCCTGAGATCAGTTTGCAGTCAACAAGTACAATAACAAGGAGTAGTTTAGAGGTACTTGGACAGCTCTCCATGTCGCCTCACAGTAAATCAAGGCATTAATTGCATAATTCATGAACCAGGGCAATAAGCTGTGCATCTTTACCTCAGATATCCTCTAAACCTGATCCAACCATGGATCTGGTAGCTTATTAAGAAGTAGAAATAAATAGTGAGGGACAGATGTCTTGTGCCAATTTCTCCTGGCTCCTTTTTTTTTTCCCCTCCTCCCCTCACTGGAAGGCAGTTAATTGAAATGTTTTGTTGACTCATGAGCAAATCCTGCCCCAAATATACCAGAAATGGCCAAAATCAGTGAACTGTTCAGTGCCATTATCTGTAGGCAGCAAGCCAGACAACTTGTGACTTGTTCCCCCTTTACACAGTAGAAAAAAGGAAGGGTTAATGTAGGCACAAGACAATCCACAACCAACAGATGCTGGTTTTGTTTTTTTACCAGCAAGTTTGGCTAGAATGACTGCTGATTGGCATGATGTTACCTTCCTTCTGCCATGATAGCGGGGGAGTTAAAAAAGGTATCAGGAATACAAATTCACTTCAATAAAGGAAAAATAATCAGAGCTAGCAATGCCTAAAGTTATAAAGCTTAAGTAATAGTAATTTACTTGTTTTGTTGTTTTTTAATTGTATTAAAAATTCTGATCTAGGAGTTTCATTAGCACAGGTTCAAATGTGTAATAGTCAGTTTTCCAAGCCAGCTTCCAACAGGAAAGTGAACAGGTCAGATTCCAACTCCCCTAAGGCTTGACTTTCTCTGACAGATGCTGAGGAATATGAAGAGGACTTCAGCACTGTATATAGAATTAGGAACTGCTGTCCTGTTCAAATCTTGTGTATCTGCATGCGTGGATGTACTGTAAAAATCAAAACTGCTTTTTAACCACTGTACTGCCATCTGGCTCATTATGTTTGTAAATAGATACTCTGCCCTAGAGGTAAGGGCTGCAGCTCTGAATGCCAGATGCAAACATTTCTGGAAGGCTGTTGTTTTACAAAGCAGCTTGCCTGCCTGCGTACAAAGGCAAACCTGTTTTACTCATTACTTTTTCAGAGCAAATGATTCCAAAGCATTTAGCTTGTGTTGTTATATGTATACACAGGTAGGTTGCTTAAAAGTGGCTATTTGGAGACTGGAGGGATAAGTACAGCTGGAATACAGGACACTGTTGAATGTAAAAGCAAATGGCTTTGGGATAATAATGGAGTAAGCACTTTCTTACATCATGTGTGAAGGTGTCATCGGTGTCTCTGGAGTGCTTGGGCACTGGTTTTGTGAAGTCTGCTCTGAAGATCTGTATACGAAAAGCTGTCTGGCTCCATGTGGGAACAGAGCTACTTGTGCTCAATACCCATAGCTGAGCTGGTGCTTTCCAAAAGTCATCATTGCACAATAAATAGTTCCTGTCATGACCTTGTGACCAGGTTTTCAAAAATAGCTGCGGTCCAGTCTTTTGAGAGCAGTGACTAAGAGAGCAGTCTTCAGTCTGCATACTGACACCAGGATGGACAGGGAAGTAGCAGCTTTCAACACCATGCACAGAGAAGTGCACAAGCAAATAACATCCTGTCTGAGAAGTTGTGTCTCCTTCTAGACTGAGAGGGGTGAAATAACCTGTGAACCCAAGATAATGCACCATGCTTGAAGATTTCTAGCCTGTAAACTCTGTTGGCCACAGGGAGTTCACATTCTTTTTCTTTCTCAACTTTGCAAGTGTCAGAAAGGGTATCAGAAGGTGTTGGAGCTTGAGGAAACCACTTGCTGCTGTTTAGGCAAATACCTGTGGATGATTTCACAGCCTCTGTAACAGCAGCAGGCAGTGGAGGAGAGCATTGGGGCAGAGTCCAGTGGTGGTAGTTCACCTGCTTATCAAGAGTAGTCTCAACAGTGAAGAGCACTGTAAAGGACAGCATACTCCTTTCTGGGTGAAGCTAAGTGCTCTTCTTTCACCCACAGTTGGATGCAGAAGCAAGTGACCACCTCAAAGAGCTCCAGGTGAAGCTAAACAATGTTTTGGATGAGCTGAGCGCTGTGTTTGGCAACAGGTGAGTATAACAAGGTCCCTGTTCTTGAATATTCCTTTCTTTTGTCTAATCTTAGGTTGAGAGAAGAAATTAGTGTCAACTGCATTATATTTTTTCTTTTTGTCATAAATTTTTGGTCTTTCAGATACTGAGACCATCTAAAGAAGTGAGAAATGTTTTTAAAGTCTCTCTGTTCTATATTGCTCTGCTTAGAAATGTAACATGGAATTTCTCAACTGTGAAATGTATTTGAATTACATGGAGTCATTTTTTTCAATAAGTGCTTGTCAGTAACAGAATTGCCTGCTCCTATATTGCTTGGAAAGCTGTTTCCAGCATAGCGTTTATGAAGCCACATTTTTCTTTAAACACTCTGCTCTGAAGGTATGAAGCAGTTGAATGATTCCTGATTGTTAAATAAATATTGGAATAAGAAGTGAACAGGTTTAGAACTTCAGATTGACTTGTTGTAATGTTGCAGTGAATGGTGTGTTCTGATGTTTCAAGAGGAGGAGCTCTTTAAAGCCTTGCCAGAGTAATTGATGGCAATTAAGATTTATTGCAAATCATTTTACCATTTACCTGAGGATAAAAATGTGCTCAACTTCATAATAGTTTTGTAGTGAACCATAAAATATGTTTATTAAGCAGAATCTAGAAACACAGGTTTCCCAACTGATCTTCAAAACCCCAACTTCTCATGATAAAGCCCATTCATCTCATTTTGTGCTTTATAACAAGATTAACACAGCCACGAAGTAGTATAGCTGAAACATGGACAAGGGGAATAAAGCAAATTGTACCAACTTGGCAGGTGGTACATAAGTATTTGCAGTACTTATGACTAAAAAATCATGGTAGGATTTGTCAGGGACTATATGGATTCAAGTGGGGAGATGAGTGAGGATTTCCCATTGCTGATAATTGATTTGATAGCAAGAAGTGGAGAAATTAAAACTGTAACTCATTTGAATTGTTAAGGTTTGTAAGTAGATGGAGGATGAGTGAGAAATCATAATTAATGGGTGCATTTGGTAATCTGAAGTCTGTCTCTGTGTTGTCACTGCTACAAGACAATTAGGGTACCATCTAGACATTTGCAAATACGATTTAAAGAGATTATTCGGTATCAACATACATACCAGGAAGTGTTTTAGAGAGATTTGCCAGCAAGAGATTTAAGTAGTCAGACAGCTCGGATACCTTGCTCATTCCTTGCAGTAATAGGGAGTTAAAAAGCAGAGCTGCAGTTCACTGTATAAGCAGGGAAGGATGTAGATGTGGGAGGGAAGACAGATAATCCACAATATTCTGTGTGGAGTCTGTAAACAGTTGCTCCTACAACACTGTGCACATCTGATGCTGCAGATCTTAATTTTTCTTCATCTGTGTGAGATTATTGTGTCTGCAGGGAAGGTAGCACACATCTGAAGAGCCTTACTACCTTTGTGCTGAGAGTGAATTATGTCTGGACACAGAAGATGACATAGAGAAAATGAGCCTTGAAAGAGTTTATACTTCATGCAAGGCTAGCTGCTGTTTTGTTCTTGGAGGCTGGTGGAGTGAAGGTGGGGACTCCTGGGGGAATTAGGAGCAGAAGGCCCTGTGTGACAGCATAGGTCAGGTTGCCTTTTAACTGGCTGCTGCCAAGGGCTCCTGTTAAGCTATACATCTACATGTACTGATGAACCTGTTGCCACAGTAACTGATTTATCAGTTTTCATTATTGGTGACAATTTTGCCTCATATTTTTATTTTTTAAGGGATTCCGTTATTTTAGCCCTTCAGCTGGGGATTTTAGGATCTTGAAGTAGGGTTCTACAACTGATGTTTTGGGAGAACTGTGGAGTGGTATCAGCTTGTAACAGAACAGGGACTGTCAGCAGTACGGGAAATGCTTGGTAATATTTTATCTTGTATGTCTTAGGTCTCTGGTTAAGCTGTTATTGTAGCCACAACTGGCTGCTGCAAGCCACTCTCCTGGAAATGGGGAAGTGGAAGTGGAGGCTGCATGGAGAAAGAGCTCTGGAATTACTCTCTGGAATTACTCCAGTGAGAGGCAGGTTAGAAGTGAGCCAGAGGGACCATGAGGCTGGAGGTCGAAGTGCAGGAGAGGAAAGAGGTGATGGGGTGGAGAAGGAAGGTGAGAGCCTCAGGGCAGAGGGGTCGTGTGCTAATGCCCCACACAAGAATGTCCTAGTTGGCTCACACAGCAGAAGTTCAGGCTACTTAAGAAGATTAAAGCTGACTTCCAAACCTGTGCCCCTGCTCTTAAATCTTTACCCTAGCTCCTAGGGGGACTTCTCTTCCTGGCTTCAAATAGCTAAATGTCACTTTTAATGCTGTTAGCAACAGCTCTTTTAAATGTCAAAGCATTTTCCTTTATTTGCTGAATTGACATCTTGACAACTCTGCTGATCTGGTAATAATTTTTAACCATTATATTACTTAATTTTGAACATCCTCTTAGCAGTAAAAGGTGAAGTAACTGGTCTTTAATGACTTTCTTGATACTTCATTACAGCAACACTACTCTTTTCACAGGCGAGCCCCATATCTCATAATTGACACTTAGATATAGCATGGACTGTATGGAGCCTGCCTTTGGACTGTCTCTGTTTTGAAGACTGAGCCTGTGATTGGTCATAACCAAATTGCAGACAATGCACTCCTGGGTGCCCAGAGTTATGCATGCATTGTGACATTGCTGAGCTGTATCCCAGTCTCTGTGGTGTAACACTCTGTGTAGAAAGCAAAGCTACAGTGGGGTGCTTTGAGCTAAGAAAACAGGGTTTCCTGAAATCAGAGAAGTACTGTTACTTTTTGCAATGAAGAAACTCCTCTCAAGAGTGGCTGGGTTTTGTGTTCAGATGTGGTTGACTGTCTGTGGATGCTGTGTGTAAGGAACTGGGTACCATACCCATTAGTAACAAACACAGTAAGGAAATGAGAAGAAAATCTCAGGGAGAGGGAGTGTGCAGTTGAGTGCATGCTTTATGCACCTACAGTATTTTACCTTCTGTGCTAGAGCTTAGATCTCTGCCACTGACAATCTTGTTTTTGCCTCTCTCCTCTCTGTTCAGCTTTCAGACTCGTATTGATGAGTGTGTCAAGCAAATGTCCGATATCCTCTATCAAGTGAAAGGGACAGGAAATGTCGCTGCTAATGCCAGAAACACAGTTGCACAAGATGCAGATAATGTCCTGAGGCCACTGATGGATTTCCTAGATGGAAAGTAAGCAAGTGTTTGAATATATGCTACCCATACAGTGCATCAGGTTGGGATCAGGATGGAGGAAAGAAAAATAGCTCCATGTTCCTGAATTACTCTTGAGATGACCAACCTCTGAATTCTCAGGAAGAATTAATTTTTTTTTTCACGTATCTGCTTCTCTCTCATACCATGGATTACCTTTGCAGCCTTCATTCAGTGCCAGAGCACACTCTCAGTTCTCCTTTCTCCCTCTGGCAATTACAGCAATCAGGAAAACACACTGCTGATCAGGTCGTGGGAAAGGCTGAAGTTCTACATTTAGTGGCTAAAAATTTTTTCCTACATAAATTTTATTACAGCCAGTTAGTAAATGTCTTGCAATCCATACTCACATAGCTGATACATGTACTACTCAGTATCCCAGTCATGTTAAGCATGTGTATTCTACTCCTACCTGGTGCTATTCTACTTAGAAAATAAGTTTCTAAACTGTGTGATCTACATAAGCTTGATCCATTGCTTTAATTAACTGTTGCCATTAACACCATGCAGCATGATTCAGCTGTATGGGGAGTTTTTGTGACTAACTGCACGTAATTCTCATCAGCTAAGCCTTGATCTACATGGAGAGATTTTAATCACTGTAGAAGTTAAACTTCTTGCTGATGCACAGCAGTTCCTTATTTTGAAAGAGGTGGCTGGCAACTTTCATACTAAATGCTGCAAGAGAGGTGATGCTTCAAAAGTTTAAAATATAGTTTCTTCTGTTGCTCCTTTTATTGCTTGTCCCATCTCTCTTTAGGTTCACCAGGCAATAAGTGACTCTCTGCAGCAATCATTGGCATCTGGCAGCCCTCTCATTTGAATGTTTTCCATGCATACCTTCACGAGTCCTGATAAACCACCTTCTTTGTATCACTGGGAACTTGGTACACTACAGGCTTGTCCACCTGTGGACCAAGTAATTTTGATCTTGATAATCTGAGCCTGGATTATTTTCTTTCCTCCTTTACAGAAGGAGAGTCTTTTTTTGATGCTTCCTGCATCCTACCCACATTGGTCTTGTCCCTGTTCAGTTTTGTTCATTTAGTGTCTTAACGAGGAAGAAGGGAAATCTGGGAGAAGATGTTGCATGATGTAGAAGAGTCAGGTATTGCCTGTGCAGTGCTGCTTGGCTGCAGAGTTCTAGTTTTTTAGCTCTCTCAGTGTGATCAGTAAATGCCAAAGTCCAACAATCAATTTGAAGAAGAATCTAACACTTCGTAGTCTTTTTGGTAGCCTGTACAACAATAAAGGAGGAATAAATAGAGAGATAAAATGGAACTTCTATATGTAAAAGAGAATAAACATATGACAGGTGATTGGTGGTGAATGCAATTGTAACAAAATACAAAGGAGTCTGAGAAATGCTTCAAGGTGTTAATAGAGGTGGAAGATTTAGAGACTTAAGCAGCTATCAGAAGCTGTGAAGAAACTTCTACACAGCAGTCTGGAAAGTATCAATTTCAGTATTAAACAAAAATCATTATAACAAATCCTTAAAGATTAAAAGCTATTATTCTGTATTTGTTGAGGGTTTTTTTCCCTGTATAAACCAAATATATCAGGAACCATTTTCTTAAAGGGAACAGTTCAATGGCACCCGCTTTTATTTGGACTATCCCCAACCACTGTAACTAAGTGATACCTTCTGTAATCCCCAGGTCAATAAATAGAAATGATTGGGATCAGAAGTGTTAAGAATCTATTTTGACCAAACATCTTTACTGCTAGAAGTCAAAGGGGGAAGACAGGCAGTTCTTTATGAAAAGGGAAGATTTTTACTCATAAAACAATTACAACACACTGCTTTGGATGGGGCTCTGATTCTTCCATGCACACTCTCTTTTTCCTTGTGAATTACATACTTTGATCTTACTCAGTTCTCGCTCTTTCCTTGCAGCCTGACACTGTTTGCGACTGTGTGTGAAAAGACAGTATTGAAACGGGTGCTGAAAGAGCTCTGGAGGGTGGTAATGAACACCATGGAGAAGCTGATTGTGCTGCCTCCTCTTACAGACCATACGGTAGAGCATTTTCTCCTTCCTTACTCATAACAGAAAGTTATTGCCTATATAACTCTTCTCCTTGACCTAATGAGTCATCTGTCCAGGTAAATTTGTCTGCGTGTAGCCTGCTCGAGGATGGAAAAATGTGTCTGTAACCTAGTAAAGTAAGAGAGGACCTCTATTTATAGTAGAGTTCCAAGGTACAAAGCACACTCTAGATGAAAAACAATTCAAAATTGACAATCCAGAAGGAGTTGCCATTAAATGTATCAGATTGCTCTAATTAGGGATTTGCAGCCCTTAAAAGAAAGCTGTGTATAAGGAATTACCAGGCAGTTAGTGTTGTCTTCATGGCATTAAATCAACACCTGTAAACACTTTTGTTTCATTATTGTCACCTGTTAGTCAGATGTCTCTCTGTATAGATGTGGTTAATTTAGATATGCTTCTTAATGACACCAGCCTCCCTCCATTTTACCACCCAGAAGGCTTTAACATCAGTAGGGGCTGGCATGAATCCTGTCTCTAGTGTTGGGAGCTGGAAGCATGTCCAGATAGTTTGCCTTCAAAGGCAATCTTTTATATAATTGTTCAGCTGTGTGGATGTGCTTGATGAATGTGTGTCATGAATGTAGTGATGTTTTTAACAATGGAAGATTAATCTCTTTCCCAATTTTGAGAAACCACAGAAATGGATTCAATGTCAGTCACACATGCCCAGCTGCGCTGGGGGATGACACTCAGTTGGAGGCAGTCTGAAGTTTGGGCTATAACCTCATTTTCTGGAGATGATCCAGAACTTCTTTCCATCTCTGTGTTCGAGTAAACTTGTGGTCTGTGGCTAGTCTATGCCAATTGTTGGTTTGTTGTTTTTTTTTCCCAGTAGTGCATAGAACAATAGTGTTTTTCATTATTCAGCTGATGCCTACATATTTAGAGTAGAATTCTTGGGATGCAGTATCTAGAGCTCTGCATTTTACACCATGTTTCTTGCTCTGTGAGTGAAGACTTTACCTATGGCCTTGATGATGAAAACTTTAAACAAAACTGCTGAGATGCTGTGTGCTCTCATACCTACTAAGCATAAAATTAGCAAAAGGTATGAATTTGCTAAAGACTGCTTGCTCTGAGCTTGAATTTGGAGTAATCATTTCTGCTTGCCTTTTTAATTTATAAAGGAGAAGGAATCCATCTAAATTTAAGAGGATGAATTTTCTTTCCCTCTGTTGAATTGATTTAGAAAAGGAGTCTTTGGGGACAGGTGCTGAAATCATAATGTAAGAGCAGGATTAACATGACCCTTTTAGAATGGATGCAATGAGATCAAGGGCCTTGGGGGGAATCAAGGAGAGGCTGCTTGGGCTTTATACTTGCTAGTTTTGAATTTTAAAGGCAAAGTAGGAGAGTGATTCAGTGCTTGTGTCATAAAGAAGGCACTAACTGTGATCAGGCAATTCTTCCAACCTAAGGGTTGTTGGAATAAGCCACTTTAAATTTTTTTTACAAGGAGTTTCTTGTTGCCATCACTTCAGTTTCAAACTCATAAGCTCTTTTTGTGTAATGAAGCACATCCTCAGCTTTCTGAGGTAATTCAAAATGTTTGTAGCTGGATTTTTAGCCATCTGATCAATTGTAACATAGTGAGGATGCTGAACTAGTCCAAACTGGAAAAGAGTCACTCTTTCAGAAAGGCAGTTGTAAACAATGCAATGATTAAAATGGCCTTGGCTGCAGTCCTTGAGCAGGGAACCTGTGGTGAGGCTAGATGGGCTACAGAGGCAAAGAGCTCCTTCCACTGTGCCCTGGGATGTAGCGATTTATTTTGTCACCACCAGGTTTTCACCATCCTAGTTGTGAAGGCTGGCAGGGCAAGGCAAGGCAAAACTCGGGGTTGGTGGTGTGGGCAGAAGCAGTACTTTCTCTTGGTGTTCTGCTTTGCTGCCACTCAGCCCTCATCTAATTTTGCTTTCTCTTAAAAGAAAGAGCATCCGTGTCAGAAGGAGCCCCAGGTACTGTAACTCTCTGTCCTCCCTGCCTTCAGCAATAGAAAGCCCTAGTGCTGTGTCTTGATGTTAGGAGAACCAGTGGATGAGGGTTTCCTTCCCAAAACTATCCTGCAGCCCTTAGCAAGAATGTGATATTCATGGCAGAGAAGAGTCCCTTTTGTGGAATGTTTTCTCTCCTTTCTGCAAAACTGCCAGAGGTGCAGAAGTGTTTTTGATGGTGGTTGTGAAAAGCATACTCAGGTAAAAGAGTGTCTCACTTGTCACTTGCACAGTCCCCCTGCCACTGCACAGTGCTTTAATGCCTGTTACTGATCTTTTCCACTTAAATTAGCTCAGGCTGTATTACACACGGACGAAAATCTGACCTCTGTTTTTCCTTTTGCTGCCACTTCTGGAAAGTTTTGCGTAGGGTGGGGCTCAGGTGAGAAAGCAGTCAGCTCCTGCCTTTGAAGGATGCAGTGGGGATTGGGGCAGTCTTACTGCCCCCCACTCTGATGATCTGAGCTTTCAGATGTTGCCAGATAATTTTCAGATGACTGGCTTCTACCTTTCTAAGCATTCACTGCTGGTAGGTTGTGAGATTTAATAGTGACGTGATCTCTGGTAACTCACCGAGCAGTTCATACCTCTCCAGTTTTAAGATCACCATTTAATTAAACACTCTCTGTCTTGGACGAGTGGATATGTAAACACAGCTCTCTGGGAATCCTTATTTGGGGGTTCATTGCGCAATGCTTGGGGATATTAACGGATTAGTTGTGGTTTTCTTTCTCCTTCACTGCTTAGGACAAAACTGTATCTCGTCAGCAGCAGCTAGTCAGGTCCATGAAGAGCTGTGTAATTTGCACACAGATTATTCCTCTGGAGTCTATTCTTTATATCACATGGTAAGATGCAGCCATTCATGTGAGACTCCATTTGTTCTTGCTCCTGCTGTGCTTTTTTTCTACTCATCAGACTTCTCTTCACTAAATGAGCCTGTAGTGCAGGATAAGAACAAAATTTTCTTTAAGCTGGGGACAGATTTTTACAAGTGATTTCCAAATTGGCTGTTTTTCAAGCTTGTCTGCAAGCTCCAGAGCTGTGCTGTGGTGGAGAAGAGTATGGCTTTAGGACATTTTCTGAAGTCTTTCTTAGCTTATGTTAGTTTAAATGAGTCCTCTTCCATGTGCTAGCTAGGAGTGAAAAAGTCCAAGGCTGCCTCTCTGATGAGAAGAAACAGCTTTCTTATCCTTGAATGAAATGATGTTCTGTGAATTGCACATGTGCCGAGATCTCTGCCAATGGGTAACTGTTTTTCCTTTTTCATCCCCACTTTCAAGCTTATTTTCTCAATATTTCATACGATGTAACAGCTAAAAAGTAGTCTCCACTTTTAGTGAATGGTAATAAACAGTGCTTGATGAGGAAGTTTTAAAAAATGAACTTAAATGCTGCTAACAAATTATCAGTTCTCATTGTTTTTGAGTGTAGGAAGTAAAAAGTCTAGGAAAGGAATGTACAAAACCAGGTGAAACTTCCTTGAATTGCTATGTCTCAGAAAAATAAGCCTGAGTAGTAATACATCTTCCAAAAAAGGACTGGAATTCAAAGGACTTCCTGTAGGCTTTTGGATCCTAACTTTGTCAACTGAGCAGTAGAACAGTTAATCTGTGAGAATTTGAGCCTTTTGGAATAGAAATCCATGCAGTTCTGTTGGCTTCTAGCAATTAGGCTTGAGTCACCTGATGATCCTTTTCTGAATGTTTTCGCTGAGGGGAAAAAAGTCAGGCCATTAACAAGGAATTTAAATTGATGTTGTAGACTACAGGTGTCTTTCTTGTTTTGAAAAAGTTTAGGAAGCTAAAACTAATTTCATGGGAAGAGCCAGGAAAACCAGCACTAAGGTCTAATCCCTTTCCAGCTACATATACTGTAGAGCTAGGCAGAAAGAGTTCATAATATGGACTTCATTTTTCCTCATCTTCCCTCCTTGATGGTTTAATCAATTCCATCATGGGCAGCTTTTCACAGAACTACCTCATACTTAAGTTTAGTTGTTTCCATTCCCTAGAGGTGCACCTGGAATAAGTGCTATCTCTAGAGCTTTGTAATTTGTTTTCCATAAATAAGTAACTTTTTTTGAGGAGATGTAGCATCTTCTTTACAAGAATGCCATTTGGCAGAGGAATGAGCTGTCCAAATTTTCATTAGATGTTACCAGCATTGATGAAAAACTCAATGGAATAGTAAAATATCATATCCTTGCAAGACATACTGACAGAGATTGGCACTCATTGATGAGGATTTTCTTAGTGGGCAAGAGGAGTAGTTATCTGAGTGACTTTGTTCCTTGAAGCATATAAAGTCACTGGGTATTGCTCAGTGTTACCAACCTGCTCTCTTTAGAAGCCTGTGGCAGGGTAAGGTAGTTAATGCTGTTCAAATTTATATTAAAAAAAAAAAAGTGTCCAGTGAAGGTTGAAAACACTGGATCAAGAAATGCTAATGTTGATGTGTTTTGAGACCGCTCACTTGAATTTTTAAAAATTGAGGTAATTAAACAGTTGCTTCTTTTTCCTGCGTGATCAACAGGAGTGAAAACTTGAACTTTTAAGACCCATAATTCAAACATGCCTCATGACCAGTCATACAGAAGAGCAGGCACATCTGTTGGATAGCAGAGCACTGGCTGAAGCCATGTCCCTTGGTGGATTATTTGCTGTGGTCCACAGTGAAATCTGTTGCTCCTGGTGCACAGTCATGTTGAGCTTCAGTCGCTGGAAATACAAAGAATGTAGTACTCTTCCTGTTCAGAGAGTTGTAATCTAGTACTGCCTGTTAGATACTGGCAGCAAGTGAAGGTCCCATTCTCATTTCAGAAGCTTTCCTTTATGGATACATTGTTTTTGCCTGCACTTTCTTTCCCCCCCAAGAGCTGTGAATTAATCGGTTATTGAGAGCTTCTGTTTAGCTGCTTGAGGAACAGCGAGGGCTAGCTGATGGTTATGGATAGAAGAAATCAGGAAGTTGTCTCTGATTTCAGGTCACAAAGTCTTTCAGCTTGGAGAAATTCCCAAAGCTGGCAAAACTAAGAAAAAATTATCTAAAAATTCACTTTTGGACTGCTACTGCAATGGGCAGAGGTTGTCCAGTGTCTCTAAAGAGGATCTTAGTCTTTTTACAGCTGTAAATGTTTTCCCAGCTTTCCTTTTGTAAAGGGGTACCTACTACTTCTAGAAACAGGCATAAAGACTGATGTTAGCTTTAATCCTAGAAACAAAATAATTATTTTAGCAATGATTCTTGCTGTAGAACCCAGTTCCCAGAGTCTGCTCTGCTAGTGCGTGGATGGGGTAGTTCCTGCCCCACACAGTATTGACTTGAAAGGCAACAAATAAATACCAAAGAAGGCAGCGAAGAAAACAGACTGGCATAGGCACAGGAAAAGTGCAGTAAAATAATTCTGGTTTTACATCTTCCTCTGTTGCAGTTTGAGGGGGGGTTTCAGGGTGGGAGGTGGTCATGGCAGTTGTGGTTAATTAAGCAGGAGGGTCAAACAGTGTTGAGAAGAGGAAGGGTAGTAGGGGAGAGGGAAGCATGGCTGTGGAAAGGAGAAATGGTTTTACTGGACACTTTTGGAGCAACGTGTTCCTCATGAAGCCAGCAGTCCCCAAAGAAGTTGAGCTTCATCTTCTCCCGAGTGTTGTCCTGAGCAAAAAATCCTATGGGAAAGTGCCACCCACCAATGTCTGCCCTTGGAAGCTTGTCTCAGGCATTCAGCTGGGACATTCCCCAGGCACTTCTCACCTGATACCTGGGGTGACGTTTACATGTACTTTTCATGCTAGTCTCTAACGACTGCATAAGTGAGGAGAGCCAAAGATCACCTTTGAGAGGGCAGCTAGGGGTCACCCATAGCTGTAGCTTGGTTCTTAAAGCCCAAATCTAACTTGCTTAAGAGGGCTTAAGTGGAGGGCAAAGTTTCATGGTATGAAAGATGCACAATTCATAAGCCAGAATGGCAGTATGCTGGGGTTTTATTCCAAGTGGAGTAATAGGCAATTGTGACTTTTTTGAAGAAAAGGTAAATAATAGATGAAGGAAAAGGAGCAAAGTGGAAGAAAATTAATTCCAGCACACCCCATAAAGCATCTCTGGGAGGAGAGATTGGAAAATGGTGTTTGGTTTTGTCTTTTTCCTTAAACTTTGGGCTTAACTCCCCAGGCAAAAAGAATATTACACAACAGAGAAATGGTGTGGTGGGCAAAAGGAAAGATATCTTTGTTATAACCATTGCAGAGAAAGTGTGTAAAAATCCACTATACTAGAGTCTAAGTGACTTGAAGCAAGATTTCCCATAATTGGGATTTGTTTCTTTTTTTTGTTCCTTCATTGGTGATACACTGTCAATAAGCCGTAGTGGGGGAAAAAAGCCATTGGCAAAGCTTTTCACATGAAAGGTGATGCTGTATTCACTGGGCTTTGCCAATCTCTCACCCAAAACCAGCTCAGATCCAGTTTCTGATCTGATGTGTGCTTGACCCCACCCTGCTGATAGGGCCTTACTTCCATAGAGAGTTTGTCATCAATTGTGTGATCTTTTGCTTTGGCTGGTCTTACACTGTCTTCATGCGTATTTAGATTTTTAAATCTAAAGGAGAACTTGGGGATGGAGCCAGTGCACTGCCATCACCCCCAGGGTGTACAATCCTTTTGAAGGTGCATCCTGTTTAAATGGGTGGCTGCTGTAAGCAAGAATGGGCCAGTTAGCAGTAGATTGTTCTCTGAAATAGCTCTTGATGTTGTATCCACAGAAATGCCAGGTTTTATAGTAGGCAATACACTGGCATGGGATCAAGTTGCTGAGACTGGCCTGGGGCTACTTATCTTAAGTTCTAGCTGTGAACTGACTTGACTGGCTCAAAGTAAAAACATGCAAAGCTTGTTTATAATCTTTATTCCCCCTCTGCTTTGTTTTCTAACTTCTTGCAATCATAGGGCGCACAGTTGATTTTCAGTGCTGCAAAGGAACTGGGACACTTGTCAAAGTTGAAGGTATTGTTCTGCATGGCTTGTGTTAATGTTTGTGTGTGTAGGCTTGGAAGTGTAGTAGTGCATAGCGTGTCTTGTGCTTCCAGTGGTTTGTTGCTTAATGCAGTTGTGGAGAAATGCTTTAAAATGCATTAAATGTGCTTTTAAATGCATTCTGCTGACGTAAGTATTGTGTTTAAAATAGCTGTTAAACTTGTTGTGAGTTTAATCATCAAAATACTTTCTCTCCTCTGTAGACACAGTGATCAGTTTGCTTTATCAAGTCTCAATGAAAAAAACAGAGATCTCAATATCTCGCCAGTTCCTCTGTATTCCCACGTATAAAAGAGCATCCCTTATGTGATCCTGATAATGAAATATTGGTAGCAAAGATGCTTGTGCTGGCTATTGATGAATTATATGAGCTGTTACAAGAGTAACTGCTGCATATGGAAGAGAGCCTGTATCTGTAAATTCCTTCTGCGTGGGCTCTCTTTACAGGCAGGCTGGCATTTAGCGTGGAGGCTATGTTGATGTGTTTTGACAGTGCATGACATGAGCATTACTAAGTGCACGACACCTCATCAGAAGCCAATCGAGCATTAATTCACTGGTCATGACGGGAACGGTATGAAAGTAGTGACGCCTTGCGACGTTCAAATTGCCACTATGTTGTGGCCTGAGCTGTGCTGCAAACTGGGGATTGTCCCAGTCTGAAGCCTCCCAGTGCACAAATTGTGCTGCAAGGAAGATGGAGCTGAAGTATCAGAGCATGATCAGGGAAATGTTCCCGCAGCAAAGGGCATTCTTTTAAGTGTCTGCTACAATTTCAAATCCCATTTGTCTTTTCCCATACTTTTTATTTTTTGTTTTGCACACTTATTACAGCTGCCTTTATGTGGTTGTCTATTTCCCTTGCCCAGCAGACACATTTTACATACACACGTTCACAAGCCAGGACAGGACACAATTTAAGATAGTGCTTCTTAGCAATCCTAGGAAGTGGTCTGGACATGCAGGTGTGTCATTAGATGTGTGTTGAGGCTGTTACATAGCAGTTAGCAGTGACATAACATAAACCCTCAAGCGTGGCTGCACAGGGGAACATCTGTCACTTGTGCTGGTGGACAGCCCCATGCACTCTCACAGCCAGGCTGGCCTCTTTGGTGATGTGGTGGTTTCTGAAGATTGCACAACCTCCACTGTTTGCTGCACTTAAAATGCTCCTTGTTGTTTCCATGTGAGAAACAGGGAGAGAGGAGCTTTGTAGCCAGTCTGGGAGAGTGGGAGCTGGATTACAGCCTCCAAATGTGGCTCCTTTTTCCTGTGAGTATCCCTTTCCCCTGTCAAAAACAGCAGTAAGTAGCCAGCACCTGGAGGAAGAGAAGCCCTCCTTGCCTTGTACTTGCACTCCTGGTGTCAAAAGGGGAGAGCTCTGAATTTGCTCCATTTCTGCTCCCCAGTGACAAGGATAAGTTTGTGTTGCAGTCGCAAGTTCCGGTGGCCGCCTGCATTTTCAGGCAGTCGGTGATATTCACTGTTATCTTTTATTTCCTCTGTATTTTCTCTGTAGTGGAATTTTTTAACCATATACAAGGTGTCTTTCACCAGGAATGACTTGTAAGCTTTGTCCATGACTTGTAAGCTTTGCCCATTTCCGTTCACCCTGATCAGATGAAGGCCATCCCGCAGCAGCAGCCTGTCTTCAGTTCAGTTACTGTCAAAGCTTAAATTTGCTAACTCTGGACTGCATTTTTAAAAATGCATGCCATCACACAAATCAGGCAAGCCCAGGTGTGAGTTCAGGCCTTTATTTGCACGTCCACGTGCAGGACTACAGCAGCACAAGTACATGGGGTTTCACATGTGGTCAGAGTGCTGTACATGAGTGTGAAAACACTCAAACACCTGAATTCTGGAGACCTTTGCTTCAAACAGATGGTGTTCACAACACTGCATCCAAAAATATTCAGAAGACTAAAGGTGCTGCAAGAATGTGAATTGTTTGGGTCTGTGTAAGCATTGTGGATATACTTTTTTGTTGTCCTTCTGTTTTTTGGGGCACAAAAAAGCTAACAGGGAAGACTTCAGTAAATGGCTGCTCAGAGCCTCTTGCCTGTGAATTTTACTGTTCCACTAAAAGCCTGGGGAAATTATGGGATGGATTTTAAGCTTTATTGGTCTTACACAGAACAGAGGGAACAGAGCCCTAGTGAATCAGATAACTCAGCTGCAAACTGAGACTGACAGACCTGACAAATACGGGCTCTCATCCTGATGATGAGTTGATTTCACAGTGTGTTTTAAAATGCTCAGAAAACCAACCATGAAACTGGCACCTTGGTGCCACATATCTGTCTCCCATTTATTATCAGACTACTTTGCTTAATAGCCAGCAGATGGAGTAGGGAACAGCAGCCCTTCCTCCCTTTATGCAGCCCCAGGGTAACCAGCCAAGGTCTGTCCGCAGAGATACACAAGGATGAGAATGAGAGACCAGGAAAATACCACATTTTTATTATTATTTCTTCTGCTGTAAGTTTTGTCATTATTTGGTATAAATATCTGTGGCTTGTTCCTGGCTAGCAATCTGGGAAGTGCAAGGGAGCACTCTGAGCAGTCCTTTATATAGGAAAAGTGTGGGATTTGCAGAGGGCAGGTATGCAGGGGAATGACAGTTGTGGGCTCCTCTTGTGTAGGTGCAAGCATTACCAGTCCAGGCACTGGGTTATTTTTACATAAAGTGTTGAAGTAAAAAGCACTGGGAAGTTCTCTTAGAAAGCAGTGACATGATGTTGCTGTGCAGTGACTGCATGGGCACCAGTGAGGTGACTGCTCAGAGAGGGGCTAAAGGAGCTTTTTAGATGTTTAAGAGAAAAATCCTGACCACATGGTTTCTGTCACAGTGTGGGGAATCTGGCAGACAGCCCTAGGAAGTAATTTCAACAAACATGAAAGTCACTCTGCCTTGTGGACATAGCTACCTTGACTAAATTGCCCTGTCCCATTAGCATGGCCTACTTCTCTGGCTGATTGTGCACTTACTCTGACTGCCAGGAAGAGAAAAAAAATATTGTTTTACCCTCTGTGTACTGAGGTGCAAAGCCACTTCGTCTTCAATTGCATTACTCATTCAATTGCTCATGAAGATAAAGGAGAGCTGTTACTCCCCGAGGACAGCTTGTCACAGCAGAAGATACTTTGCAGCTTACAGAGTACTGCATACAGCTTTGCAGACCAGGAGTTCAGGCATGTCTCAAGAAAGAGCTCAAGAAAGGACGGTGCAAACTTGTCTGAGGTGCTGCTGACTTGAGAGGCATGTTCTGTACTAGTTAATGCAGCACTGTGCAGATGTGAGAGCTGTATCACAGAATCATAGAATCACAGAATGGTGAAGGTTGGAAGGGACTTAGAGATCATCAGATTCCAACCTCCCTGCCATGAGCAGGGACACCGCACACTAGACCAGGCTGCACAAGCCTCATCCAACCTGGCCTTGAATACATACAAGCAGGGGGCAGCCACACCTTCCCTGGGCAACCTGTTCCAGCTCCTTACTGCCCTCATGGTGAAGAATTTCTCCCTGATGTCCAACCTAAATCTCCCCTCTTTCAGTTTAAAACCACTACCCCTTGTCCTATCAATGCCCTCTCTGGTGAAAAGCCCCTCCCCAGCTTTCCTGAACCCCCTTCAGGTACTGGAAGGTGCTCTAAGGTCTCCCTGGAGCCTTCTCTTCTTCAGGCTGAACAGCCCCAACTCTCTCAGCCTGTCTTCATAGCAGAGGTGCTCCAGCCCTCTGATCATCTTCATGGCCTCCTCTGGACATCGTTGGGAAGTGTGGCAGTGCCTGGCACTGCACCTGAGTGCTGTGAGCCCTGTCTCCATCAGGCAGGAGATGGGTCATGGTGGATAATGAGTGGGAACAGCACCAGATGATTTGAAGTCACCAGGCTGCAAGATCACCAGGAGGCTTTACAAGGGTGAAATGCACATATGATGCCACACAGCAGGCATGCTTTATTTGAAGGCAATTTAGAAGTGTCTCCTGCAAAGCATCTCTTGTCAGAGGCTATGACACATTTAAGCTTGAGATAAGTAGCCTTTGCCTGATTTGGCTGCATCTTCTCCGTTAATGCTTCAGCACCCAGGCTGCAGCCAGCTGGCCTGATCTTCCAGCAGCTCAAACAGTTTGAATTTGTGTTTGTGCAAAGCTTTCAGTTACTGAAATATGCTGGTTTTTCCTAAGACTTAGACTTAGCATCAGGGAGGAAGAGCTTAGTTTAATACCAAAGGATGACACATCCTTGTAGTCAGGCAGGAGTCTAATAGAGATGTGCTCCACTGCAGTAAAAGGAATCTCTTCCCAAGGGCTTCCTGGCTCTTTGCTATTAGAGATGGTGAGTCTTAATGGGAGCAACTTACTCTTTTAGCAAAGGTATTTTCTAAACTGTGTTGCTAGGTTTTTTTTGTTCTTTCCTCCACACCAGCAACACGATGAATGACTGACCTTTGTAGATGGAAGAACTGAAAAAAAAATTCACAACCAGTCTCAAACTTTGCCCAATATCTGATTCTCAGAATTCCATTTTTTGGCTGGTATTTTGAGAGTTTTGTTATGGCTGCTTTATGATGACAGGGGTAGCAAGCAGACTCCTATTTGAGTTTTCTGAGAGACAAGCTGTGATTTTTAATTGCCTCTTACCTCTGTCCTGTTCCTTTTGTTATTTCTGTCTTCTGTGCCTGCAAGAAAGAAAGTGGGTTTATTTTCAACTTAAGCTCTAATAAATGACTCAGAGAGACTACATTAAGTGTTCCTTAAACAGCTGAATTAATGCTATGGCCATGTAGACACAGCATGTATCCAGAGAATGAAGTGATACTGGGGACTCCTTTTCCTGTAGTCTCTGACAGCATACTGATGTCAAATATAATGGTTGTTTGCAGGATCATATGGTGAGAGAAGAAACTAGGAATCTCACTCCAAAGCAGTGTGCTGTTTTGGATCTGGCACTGGATACTATCAAAGTAAGTGAGTCCATTTCTGTCTCTGTCATCCCATTGCTCCATCCCCAAATACAGTGGGAGGACAAGTGTGTGTCTCAGTTCAGGATGTGTTGCTGCTGTTACAGTGATGATTGCACTGAGTGATGCTGCCATGTGTGTAAACCTGAGCAGGCTCAGGTGACTGACATGTGCTGAGAGCCAGCATGTTTATATTTAAGTCCTGTGAGCAGTTGGTATCAGTTGGTCTAAGAGCTGGTTTCCAGAACAGAAGCTGTTTTCTGAATTTTTCCAGCTCTTTCCCATCTGCACACACAATAGCTTGTAAATGTTGTTTGCTAGTTGCAATTCTTCCTCAGTATTTTTCCTCTCTGTTTTCACTCTTAGCAATATTTCCATGCTGGTGGGAATGGTCTGAAGAAAACCTTCTTGGAGAAGAGTCCAGACCTGCAGTCACTTCGATATGCTCTCTCTCTGTACACTCAGACCACAGACACTCTTATAAAAACCTTTGTCCAGACTCAGACAGCTCAGGGTAAGACTTCTGTATTGTTGGCAAAGTTGAATGGAGCCATCTACTCTGTTGGTAATTGCCCTGACTTGTACTGCCAGTTTGTAGAGTGTTTTTGCCAGAAACATTTCTCAAAATGTGACAGTTCAAAGCTTTTGAAACTGGGAAGGAAGGAAGGAAGGAAGGAAGGAAGGAAGGAAGGAAGGAAGGAAGGAAGGAAGGAAGGAAGGAA